ATGAACTGATTTGCTTACGTAGGAAGTCCTACGCTTCATCTGACTGACTGACTATCTCACTTCATACCTCTACTCCCTGTACTATCATAACATTTTAAAGGCAATCCCATCTTCCTGTACTAATTTGGCAGACAAGTTTAATTGATGTACATACGTACAAAGTTCTACGTTGTACCTGACTGAGTGACTGACTACAATTTCAATAACTTTTCATCAATAATCTGACCACGTGAGTCTACTCATCAATGTAAGTCACAATTGAAGGTGAAGTAGCGAAATAAAGATTTCTGGTTTCGAATCATGATAAAGTCATAGACGCACACGTACAAGAGGTGTTTCATACCAGCAGGAAACACATGTGTCTAGTGTTCAATGAGTTGCTCTAATGGAGCAATGCAACCGATAAAATGAAAGATTACAGACTTCACGATAGTAAAAGATGGTTTAGAGACTAAGGAAGACATGTATGGTCCTAAATTGCTTCGAATAAATCAGATGCCATCCATTGTCTACTCTTTCAAATTCTAATCTTCGGAATTCCCTTCGACATTTTTTTCAAAGTTTTTGAATTAATTACAATCGGATATACTTATCAAGTCATATCTCTTTGATCCATCATTTTGTTGACTACATCACTAATATATCTACCAGCCCTAATACTAAGCAATTCGAACCGATAATTCCATCTCTCTATACTAATTTGGAATGGACAAGTTGTGAACTAAATCTACGTACGTACGACGTTCTATTTCATTTTGTCGATCCAATGTAGTATTTATAACTACACCGATACCATTGAAGCAAGTCATAGATGCGAATTAGTTGACTGATATGATTCATGCCGTTGATTGATCGCGGTTTCAGTTACGATCAGGACCTGTGTTCGGCTCGGTGTAGTAACTGTGCAGCCTTTAGCCGTGTCTGTGATTACAAGTGTTGATGGGATGATGAGCTTCTCTTGTTGTCCATTTGATGTGCTTCTGGATGCCTTTAACCGGGTGTCAGGAGCGGACGGCATCTTTACTTTGAACAAATTCGAATGCTCAAAGCAGGCCCATGCACCTGAAAATTCCTGCATGGAATAATGAAATAGGACCTAGGTTGAATTTGGTTGGTTTTCGGATCCGAAGTAATGGCTTAAAGGGACAGACGGGGGCATCGCTATGTCAGTGTTAGAGGTGAAATTTCGGGATCGCCGCCAGACAAACTACGGTGAAAGCATTTGTCAAGAATGTTTTCATTGGTGAGGGGCGATAGTCAGACTATCGAAGACGATCAGACACCGTCGTAGTTCTGACCATAAACGATGCCAACTGACGATCCGCGTTGGTACAGGGAATCAGGGTTCGATTCCGGAGAGGCAGTCTGAGAAATGGCTATCACATCCATGGACGCAGCAGGCGCGAAAATAACCCACTTCCGGCTCGGGGAGTTAGTGACGAAAAATACGGATGAGGGACTCAATTGAGTCTCCGCAATTTGAATGAGTACAATTAAAATCCTTTAACGAGGACCAATTGGAGGGTAAGTCTAGATTAATTCAATGGAATACGACAGAAATTATGTTTTTGTATCATATGAATTTGTCATGTTTGTTCTTTTATTTTTTTTCGTTTTCGATTTTTTTTGCAAAGTGTATTTCTGTTCGTAAAAATATTCCACTGGTGATGTGTCGAAAAGAAGCAAAATCTTATGGTACTAAACAAATGATTGAAGGTGTATGGAAGCATGGACAAAATTGTGTCATCATTGAAGATGTTATCACTTCTGGTAGTAGTATTTCTTCTGTGGTTCAGGTGGGAGGATAATTCTAATTAACTGATGATCTGTATCGGTATTTGTTTATTGTTACTTATTTAAACACGTAAATTTGCAATACGGGGTTGTGAAGATTGTTGAGTTACACATATTTTGAAACCATGAATCGGTCAATGTTAGACCACCATTAGAAACCTGGCAGCACTAGACGGCCGTTTCGCCGTAGTATGGGATTTCGAATAATAATTAAATACGTGTTCGATAATGTTTAAGAAAATAATTTACAAGTAATGAAGTTCCGATACTACTACTACTAATAATAATAATAATAATCCACAGAAATAATTCAAATGTGAACAGAGTAAGTGGATTTTCGTATTTCATTCAAATCTCTGAAAACCGGAGTTGTGTTCGTTAGTTCAGTTCACCGGTTTTGTAGCGGCAGATAGTCTATGTATTCCTACACCTCGTCTATTGTTCGTCCTGACAATGTTACGATCAAACGAGAGTTGTTGTCACACTTGACTTTATTAATCAAAATGTAGATATATTGGTCGAAACAATCATTGAAAATATAAATAAAAATAGTCGATCGTGTTATCGAACTCTTTCAACTAATAATCGTTTAAAGCTTGTAGAATGACAATTTACGTTGGCGTTTATACAGTGCTCAGAGCATGACATGCGCACAGACCGCTTCACAATAATCAAAGTAGAAAATGTTAAATGAAGCGCTCGAATTGGTTTGTTCTATTTTATTTTGTTAACATTCTGTTCGATTATCATGGTAAATATACAACTGATCATTTCATTCATTTTACAATTTACAGCTTCTTCGACAGTCTGGTTTATGCATTGAACATGCATTTGTCATGATAGATCGTGAACAAGGAGGACCTAGTTATTTACAAGATCAAAATATTAAAATTACCAGGTGAAACCGATGAGATATATCTGTATTTAACTATGAAAATGCAAGTGCGCATTTTTTAGTGCAAACTGTAAACTGTTATTTATGTCAGTCAAAAGCACCAACTATATTATTGCATGTAGTAGGTTGATTAGTGCTGATCATGTGGTTGGTTTTTAGGGCATGGAATTGGTAAATGTGCTCATCAGTCCATGTTGATGAATGTGTTTAGTTCATATCTTTTATTCAGGTATTCAAATATTCAGCTGAGATTTTTTTTACATTTTATGAGTTAAATACAGGTTGTAAACATTAATGTAGCTGTTTGAGTTAAGCCAGAAGGAAGTACGTTGTGTACTGGTAGGGGTGCATTCCGAGTAGTGTGAGTTGGAAGAATTGGAAACAGGCGAGAACGGAAGAATAGGTAAGTCGACAACTCAGCAAGTACACCTCAAGATCAAAGGCAAAGAGCTAGGTGAAGGAACACACCGCTGCGAGAATTAAAAATAGATATGAGGAGAATGTGTAGCAATCTGGTAGAACTGAGAAGGAAGTTTCAGGATGGAGTAGTTTGGCGGATGCCGGTAACAGGAGTAAGTAAGTAAGCAAGTAATCTCGCAAGTTTCAGATTCACCAACTATGGAAAGCGAAACTATGTGCAGATGAAGTGGAGATTTATAACGTTACATAAGAAATCAATATAACTCATCTGTAAAATAAGCGAATTATTGAATGTCTTCCCTTACAAGTAATCTGGTCTTAAAACCACTCCGATCGCACTCTTTTTTCGGATTCGACAATTCCTATTTTCAGCATTAACTTCTGGGCGATACTTTCCTAACTATTCACTGCTTACCACTTATAAGCTACGTCGTGAGTAGTATAAACCACGCTCATATCTGAAGTACACAAACTATAGATTGAATCTAAGTAAACAAACCTAGAGTCATTAGTAAGGTGTTGTAGAGATTGTTGAATTTCTTTTAACTAGTGAACCGATCTGATATCCTTGTCTTAAGGAGCAACTTCTGGCTTGCATCCCCTTTCACACTACCTATAAACCATGTTGCAAGTAGTATGTATCACAATTCCATTCGCTCTGATTTATGCTGAGTGTAGAAACATCATATTCATTGCTTGATTATAGTTATAGACGATTGAACAGCCTTCCAACGGTATTATTGCCTAACTTTAATCAATCTAAGGCTTCTACACAAACTCACCCGTCGTGTTTGATGGATTACTGTCGCACACCGATCACGGTTAAACTCTACTGGTCACTGCTTCTCACTAGAACTTTGAGAATTTTCTCCTGAAACAACTAGTCACAAAGTAAGTTACTATTTATCACAGTGAAAATGACATCTCTGTGCTAATGTGTTATGACAACTTGATTGGTAGCTGACTGACTGACATTAAAACTTACCAGAAGTTCTATTTATTATGTAAAAATAGGTCGACCGTGTTGCATGCATATTTGTTTGAATGGCTGCTTATGTTACTCATTTGCATGCATTTTCATTGTAAAAGCTTATTCCGCAGTGTACATGCTTTCATTGTATGTATGTGTATGCATTTTTCTTCTATTGTAGTTTATTCACGCTAACTGAATTGTTGAATATTTTACATGAAGAAAATTGTATTAGTAAAGAACAATTTGATGCAGTTATATTATTTATTCATAATTCACCAGCACCTAAGGTAATAATGAATCATTTTTCTATACTGGAACAAAAAATATTCTTACTATTTTGTTAAAAATCGATAAAACATTTTCTGTTAGAAGTTAAAAATAAGTAATCGACTGTAACTGCTACCCTGACATGGTGGTCGGGCTTGCCTATTGTGATGGCTCAACCGAGTAATATTGGCTGAAACATATGTTCCTGAAGGTTCTATCATGCCAGACAGGCTCTATTGGCTTTTGCCAACCTGCGTCACCTATGCCGCAGGCGAGATATGCGCTTACTAACCAAAGGGCGAGTGTACTGCACAGTAGTTCACTTGGTCCTATTCTATGGCTCTGAAACATGGCCAGTGAGAGTAGAAGATATTCGTATATGACTGGTTTTCGATCATAGGTGTCTTCGAAGCATTTCTCGTGTATCGTGGGACAATCAAGTGAGCAACGCTATTATTAGGAAACGAGTGCCAGGTAAGGATGGCAGATAAATAGATGTAGTAATGAAACTTTATCATATGAGGTGGTCGGGACATGTGCTGCGTATGCCTAGCCGCCGACTGCCTCGATGAGCCTTGTTTTGTAGTGCGGGAATAGGTTGGACGAAAGCTAGGGGCGGCCAGACCAAAACATAACAGAATGCAAGAAGTCACGTATGTAGGTGTGGAATACCTGATTGGGGTTCTCCAGATGATGATAATCGGTGGTTATAGACCGTGGATAACATTGCTGAAAACCGTTTGCAATGGCGCAGATGCATTCATTCCTTGTGTTCTGTCAAATCCTAATCTTCTGAATTCTTCAACACATCTTGGTTTGTCTTTCTAAACATATCTCTCTGAATCATACTTCCTGAATAATATCTTCTCATCTTAAACTCCCCGATTACTGCTAATACCTTTACTAGCTCTACTACTATTGAATTTGAATTGACAGTTGCGTCTCTGTGCTAATGTGGTATGGCAACATGAACTGATGTACATACTGTAGAATCCTTTTTGAATGTTTTGTTTTTTGGAAAATCCCTCCATGTTTACATATTTTTGCTATGATATGACGGACTTTTTCTTTCGACATTTTTGGTATTTTATTTGATTCCAATTTCAGATTTTATCATTGTATATTGTTATTCTTTCTATATTTTGTACTTATATTGAAGTTTTTGTGTTTGCTTCTGAACTGTACATATGTTGTTTAAATTTGATATAATATGGCTACCGCCACATTTTTGGACTGATGCAGTGGCCGCTGGACTTAGCGTCACTTATTTGTTACTGTGTCTGATACTCTGCGGAGTAACTGAACCCTGGAAGAAGCACTATTTCCAGGTAATGCTTGTATTTCCATTTTTTAATAAATACAGACGCTTTCTCCTAGAATTTTGTCCTTTTTGAATTGGTTGGGACCCGGAACTGGGAAAAGCGTACAGGAGTGCCTCTATTGGAACCCATTGGATCGGCCACTGTAGAAATATAACTACACATACGTGCGTACTTACAAAGTTCTATGTTGTATCTGACTGACTGACAGTATCAAAATATACTGATTAAAAATACTTTAGTGTTTGACTGACTAATGAGTTGTCCAAACGAAGTTAATCCGTGACATATAAAGTTTACACGTCTATTATATTTTCCTGTGTCGTTAATTTTTTTTAAAATATCTATATGAGAAGAAGTTGAAATGAAATGCTAACTATGGCTAAGCGAAATGTTGCATCAGCCTAAGAAGTCATTGACCAAGTCGTATAAGTAGATGTAGGCTACCAGGTTGGTCTGCAGGTGATAACAGTCAGCAGTAGTTGATGACTTTCAGTTTTTGTCGGGGATGTTAGATCGCTAGAAGTCACTTGATAAAGGCCTTAATTATGGAGGTAAATTCATGCGCTGATCGGTGTACTTTGCGAATTCATATTAAGACCATTGATAAACTATTTAGTTCAGTATTTCGAAAAAGTTTTAAAAATCACTAAGAAACTTGCTGACCATTCATCGCAGTGCACCTTTTTAATGTTAATTAGACAAGGGTATTTGTCGGAAAACCTCTGGACTTAGGTTTCAGTCTGATATACATTTTCAATCATATGGAATGTATTACGCGTATATGTTATCAACATCAGCTTTAATTATTATCAGAGTAAGAGAGGTTACCACAGATCTATTATGGTTGAGTGCTTTGGTGGGCAGAGTATACTACTACATTCCGAATGCTCCCATTTGGGACACGCGTATTTTTTCAGGTTTTCAATATACCAGTAACATTATTTTCTTTATATCACTGCGTATTTTTTTTGAAGGAAATTAGCTGATATCGGACAAACAGTGTATAATCAATTATTGTATGGTGTTTATAGAATTGCTGAATGGTGTGATTTGATGACAGTACACTGTTTACCTAGTCCTGGTTTATGCGTTGCTTTTCGTAAACTTAACAAAAAATTACTAGACGGACTCCAACCAAGTAGTCGACACCTACCAACATGACTCATTCCTCTTTTCAGTGACTTCATGGATTTCCGTCGTTTTTGTCTTGCTGCCCCTAGCTTTTGTCCAACTTATTTCCACAGCGCAAAATAAAGCTCAACCAGGAAGCCGGTGGTTAGTCATAAGCAGCACTTGTCCGAACCACCTGAACTGATGAAGTTTCATTGCTTCATCTATTGATCTGACATTATTACCTAGTACCCGTTTTCTAATAACAGCGTTGCTCACTCGGTTGTTCCAGGATATACGAGCAGTGCTTCGAAGACACCAGTGATCGGAAACCAGGAACCTACGAATATTTTCTACTCTTACTAGCCATGGTTCATAGCTATAAGGTGGTGGTCCAGTTTAGCACCTAGATTGACTGAGATCTGGTCTTAATTCCATCTAACTGACTGTTGAACAGTACAGTCAACAGGTCATTGGCACTTATGAGACTCCCGAGATAAATGGAGCGGCTTACACGTCCGACTTATCCATTCCCTATCAATAGTTCCGGTGAAGTCGCAAGTTAATCCTGAAGCAACATTCTGCATTTTCATGGGGAAAGGTGCATCCCGAAAATGCTGGCATTGTTGCTCAAATGGGTCAGAAGACTCTGCATTTTGTCAATATCTTCACCATGTAGAACTATGTCAACGGCATATTCTAAGTGAGCAAGCGATGTTCCTTGTAGAAGGTCTACTCCTGAAATTCAGACGAGGAAAAAGTTATGTCTAGCAGTATGTCTATGACAAAACTGAACAGCAGTGAGGGAAGTGGACATCCCTGACAGACACCAGTTCAAGTAAAGAATTTCGATGATAGTTCGCCATATGCTCTCACTTACCCAGTGGTGATCGAGTTGAGGGCATGTATAAGGATAATGTACTTCTTTGGTACACCTTTCAATGACAGACACTGCCACAGAACCTCACGATCCACTAAGTCGAATGCCGCCTTACGGTCAAGGAAAAGAACTATTGTAGGACGCCTCAATGTGTGTCTGTGTTCTAGAACCTGTCGTAGTATGGAGATGTGGTCTATACATCCACGTCCAGGTCTGAAACCAGCCTGGTTTTATCTTTCGTCAAGCGTTGAAGTAGTATTGAGTCCAATATTTTAGATACTTTATTATTTGGGATGGGATTGCGTCCATTTACCAGATTCTACCTAAGATCTCAGTCAATCCAGCTGCTGAAACTGGGTCATCATCCTTAGAAACATCAGGGGACGTACATGGATTTGCCATTCAGGATGACTGGAAATCGTGGGTAACCAAAGTGTAGCTAAAGGCCAGTTGAACTGATGCCTAAAGTGTTCTACCCATCTGCTCAGTCTACTGGATTGAGAATGGATAAGAGGACCATCGTTTTCCGAGGTAGTCTCATTCACATTTGTGTTCCTAATACCCGTTTCCTTGGTGAGTCTGAATAGTTGCCTACTGTTGCCTATTGCAGTTGCCTTTTCTATCTGTCTCGCTTTTGCCAACGACCATAGTTTCTGATCATTCCTTAGGCTTTTTATCAGCCTACGCCTACGCTGACTCCGCTCGTCCTCGCACTCTGAACCAGGTGAGATGAACTTTCATCAGTTCGGGATATGCTACTGAGATCGACCGCTTCTTCCTAAACTTCTGGTTGACCTTATCAGTAGATTCACTGCTGTTTCCACAGCCTTTTTCATATCATTCCAATCGGCCTCCGGATGGGAATAGCTTACTACATTGTAGCCTAACATTTTGTCTAGTTGTTCATGAAAAATTTTTTAGCTTTATTATCATTAAGTAGGACCCTGAGAGGTTTCCTTGCGATGTCTTTCCTACGTCTTATGAGCCTAAAACAAACACGCACTTGCACTAGGGCATGATCTGAATCTAAACATATGTGCCAGAACGAGCGAGAGACCTCTATCCAACCCTTCTAACATCGGTTAATGGAGATATGTTCTAGTTAGTTCAAGCGTTGTGAAGACTTTGGAAGTCGCCAGGTCAAAAGATGCTTTTTCCTATGCCTTAAGTTGTTGTCTGCTAGAAATAGGCGGTTATCTGAGCAAACCTGCACCAGACGGTGGCCATCATCTGTTCTCTGAGCCCTGACACCAGAACATCCACCTAGGTGTCTTTCCTGCTCACTTGGTCAACCTACTTAAGCATTAAAGTCACCAGCCATTATTACTATATCAGAGCGCCTAACGTTTTGGAGGAGGTCCGAAAGCTTATGTAGAACGCATCTTTCACCTCGTCTGAACTGCAGTCAGTGGGGGCATAGGCAGATATGACGAAGAATCCCCATACTTTTGAGTTCTTGCTGTCCCGTCTAGTCAGACAGCGCACAAGTGACTATCTGTAGGGATCCTGTTTTGTAGAGCTACTTCTGCCCTGAGACTCAATGCTATACCTACACCAGTGACACGAAGAGAAAATCGAGCTGCTTCTTTATCCTGATCCTGAAGTCTTAGATAAGGAAGACTGTTGCCATATTTGACACAATGTCCATACATTAAAAGCTTCAACTTGTAGTCTAGAATGGGCTTTCGAGAGACTAGGGATGACGTTT